GCTGAGTAGGAGTAGGAATGTTAGAGAGAGTGTGTTCTTTTAGAATTCGCCATTTCCGTACTGCTGGATCTTTAGCAGGTCGCAGGAGAACTGGAAGAGCTGCTCGCACTTGGCCGGCTTCTTGGCGTCCGGATGGAAGGGTCCCTTGCCGCCGTTGGCCAGGTAAGTGCCACCCTGACCCTCGATGGAGGGATCGATGGCCGCGAAGACCACGGTGCGCGATCCCCGCTCGGGGGTCTTGAAGAAGAGCTTCTTGAAGATGGGCACCGATGTGGTGGCCGAGTGCTCGAACAGATCCGTGTCCACAATGCCCGGATGCACCACGTTCACCTGCACGTGTGACTTTTCCGCATCCAGCAGCGTCTGCAGATGGCGGGTGAACAGAATCTGGGCAAGCTTCGACTGGCTGTAGGCGGTTCCTGGATAGTAGTGTTTCCTATAGAAATCAAAAAACAATAAAGTCTAGAATTTCGGAGTTTAATCATTTAACTCACGTTCCGTTGATGTCCTTATAGTTAATGCGTCCAATGAGATTCACGCAAGAGCTGACGTTAACGATCCTGGAATTCTTTCCCTCCTTGCCCGCCGCCCTCAACTGGGGAAGGAGCAGATGGGTGAGCAGAAAGTGACCCAGGAAGTTGGTGGCAAAGTGCGACTCGTAGCCATCGGCGGTGAGTTTAAAGGGTGCGAACATGATTCCAGCATTGTTCAGCAGCAAGTCCACCTTGGAAAAACGCTCCTTGATGAGCTGGGCAAAGGCCTTCACGGACTTCAGGTCCCCGACGTCCAGTTGCTCACAGATCAGCTTGCCCTTGGTCGCTTTTAGGTCTACTATCGATGCGACCGCAGACTCAGCACTTTGGGGATCACGTACACCTGTAATGGAAATAAAATTAAAAAACTGCTTTAATTGGTGAGGTTTAGGTGGTTATTTTAACGGGTATTCATAAGCATCGCCTTTCAAGTGTGCAAAGTATAAAAACTGAATAAGTAAATGATACTTTGATTAAGAAAACCCGAAAAAATGTATGTTCCTGGCAAAGAAATTTATAGAAATTTGACTTGAAGGTGGGGCTTCACCAGCTTTAGATTTGGTTTTTTTTTTTTAAATGTTTTTTAGATCCATGATTGCTAACGATTGAGCTTTGCGAATAAGAATGGAGTGATGATGAAGGAGAATGTGAGAAAATGTTTTCTCGAGGTAATACACTATACCACGAAAAATGGCTAGATTTCTGTGCTTTTTGGAAACCGCTTTAAACTTTGATTTTAATATGAATTAAATATTTTCATTCGTTAAATTAATCATTCATTCTTCCTTTACACAAGCTCACATGTGTTTCTGCGACACCTGGCGGCAGAATGCTGTACCTTTCATACTTGATTTTACCCTACACGAGTAAATTATACATTTGATCAATGTAGAATGTAACAGTTGACTGTTAAGTAGTCAAAATGTTAATAGTAAGAATTTGATTATTTAAATTAAATTTTGATTAAACAAATTAATGGATAAGGAAGAAGAAATATAAGAAAGAATGCTTCACAATAAATTAAAATTAATTATTAATAAACAATTTTAAAAATACCGGCCGAAAAGTTACAGATAAAACTCTGTAAAGATTTGTCGTTCGTTATTAATTAATTGAGAATTAATTTTAAGTTTATATATTGACAATTAATTATTTTTTAAAAGCCAGTTATTCAGCTAATCTCAGAAGCGAGTCACAACAACAAGTCACTAGTGAAAATTAGAATACTTTTCTTTCTCAAGTCAATACACTCTTATCGTTACACTCCACCGAAAATCGTTGTGCGTGACTTGGTTAGGTAATGAAATCAGGCGAATGGATCATGATTTGTTGATCGCATTGACAAGGGTGGGAGCCACTCCGCAGATGGATCTGCATTTCGACGATCGGTTAGTCGATATTTTTGTTTTCTGCTTTCCGAGCACGTGCACTGCAGCACGTCAAATGTTTGTGGAATTCATAAACCGTCCGCCGACTTATGGTAAAGGGCCAAAACAAGTTCCCCGGCTGATTGGTCAACTCACCCATGACGACAGTCATTTCGCAGGCCAGCAGCTTCTCCACGATCCGCAGTCCGATGCCGCGATTTCCTCCGGTGATGACAGCAATGCGATCCGGTTGTTTATAAAGTGCTTAATGGATAATGGCGACAATTAGCGGCCGTTGGATAAGCATCTCAGCTGGTGAGTTACGGGTATCATTCACTTACCCACTCGATCCCGCGCCGCATAGTGAGCATCGTGGACGAGACCGACGATTCCGAGGTACTGGTACCGGAACTCCGTCTTCCACTCGAACCAGGACTTGGGAACCTCCTTGGTGGTCTTCGAGAAGAGGAACGCGCACAGCAGCAGGCCGACGAAAAATATCCACAGCAAAGTTCCCAGCATGATTCCGCCCTATCGACTAGTCGTCGTCGTCGTCTCTTCGGAACTCTGAAAAGGTAATTCGGGGCCTTGATAAGAAATCGTGTTTCAAACAGGGCAAAGTGCGCCGGCTGATAACATAAACCGATCTTGGTTCGTCACAGCCATTAGCCGGCAACATTATCAATATTGGCGAGTCAATTCGCCTCGAGTGCACTTTGCGACACTCTTGAACTGAGTCAGCAAGATTTCACGATCCGAGTGCCAGCGGGGTATATTTGTTGACCATATGCGATTGGTATTATAGGCGGGGTCAAACTACGGGAAATTGATTCGTCTCACGATTTAACTACGAGTAGTCAAGCCCTACACAATTATCATAAGTGTATAATATAAATTCACGTGTTGTCCTAACAATAAAGATTACTATCATAGCCCTTAACAAACGTTTAATACAAAATGCGGGAAATTCATATATATTTTTGATAGGAAAAAGTATTCAATATATACTTTAGTGTTTTTAATAGGATCGTAAAACGATATTATTGTCATATAGAAACTGTTAGCAACATATTAATTGATTCTAAAAATGAAAAAAAAAAATTCAGATTTGTAAGGGTAGTCCGAAATCGTCTTAGCCCCATTGCCTTGCCCTCAAACAGCTTAAGTTGTTGTCTCTTCAGCTGGGATTTTTCGTGTTTGCCCAGCAATTTCGAGCGTTCGTTAGCCGGGCTTATAAAGCCAGACCGATTGTTTAGCCGCAGGTATTTATTTGTACATATTTGCACTGCCAACTGCACTCTGGCTTTTGAGCGGTGCACTGGGAACTTAATTTTCAGCAGGGCGGCGGAACAATTAAATTAATTAAACGAAAGTTACTTTGTCGTATTTATTAGAAGAGACAGCGAGAGAACGGGCAAAGGTGTGCTCGTAAAATGCAAATTAAAAACCCAAACAGCGGCGGAGTGGAATGAAAGTTGAAGAACCGAGCTTAGAGCCAAAGCCAATGAACGGGGCCAAAATAGTGAATTTGGGGCCAAAGCTGAAAATGACTGAGGCGCTAAACAGCAACAACGGGGTTCGGTTTCTTCTGCTTCTTGAAAGAAGGGAAATATCGAGATAGCCGACATGACATATGTGGTACACTGAAAAAAACGGACTTTCCACTTAATTCTTTACAATTTAAAAATCGATGTAATGATATAGCGAGTAAATGACTTATATGAAAAAAATCTTTAAAAAAATATATAAATCTTGTTTCATATAAAAAAAGCGATATACTTACAACTCTTAACAACCAAATAAAATATACATCCAAAAAAATTTAAATAAAAAAAATCTACATTTTTTTTTAATCCTTGATACAAGTATATTATTGATATATTATTATATGAAAAAAATTGAAGCCTAATTGTTTGTACAATATTGTAAGAGATTGTAAATATTTGGGATGGTAATTTTTTGGCTCATGTTTAGTGTGATAAATAAGTTATTAGAAAATTGACAATCTTTATTTGAAGTGTAAGTATGACTCTACGAGCGTGCTGTCAAGAGTTTCGACTTCCGTCAACAAAACGCAAAAGCTTAGCAGTTTTATTGTTGCTTCTGCTGCGGTCGTTGTTAATTTGGCTGCATATGGTTAACTTTCTTTTTCTATTGTTGTTGCTGGCGTTGCCCTTGCAAACGGTTTCATCAGTTTTTTACCTTCAATTCAGCTGCCGCAGGTGAAAATGCACTTGTGCTTTTATTTCTATGCTAATATTGACACCCTTTTTCAATTAAAGGCTGTGGCGAAGCTTCTTCGTACTTGGGTTTTCAATCACGTTTTCGAAAATCAATTGGGAAGAGTTCGAAAACCGGTTTTTCCAGCGGGCCCGTGTTGCCACAACCGCTCGGCGAGAAATTCAAAAGCGAACTAAACGTTAGTTTTAATTGCGCGCCTTTTCGACAAGAACTTGATCCACGATTGTTGTTGTTTTGTTTCGTTTGACTTGTTGCTTATGGCCAACAGGTGAATTTTACCTATTTGCCGGCTGATCGCCGTGAAAACAGCTGATTTTGGGTTTTGCTTTGTTGTACAACAAATGGGGCACGTGGGCGGGGTGTAGTTACCTGTGTTTGCACTCACAAAAACGCTGATTAACAACAATTTAATTGAAAAAGTTGCAGACGAGCGAAGAAATCAAGATACATCGATGGCACCAGGGATGGAGAACTTTTCTTCTTTTCCTTGAACATCGATTGTTGCTTGCGACTATCGATACTTGCCAGCAGTGTGAACGCATCCACCGCTGGCCTATTTTAGTACTTTTATTTTAAGGCTCGTTAATTTCAAATTTTTAAATTATTTATTTTAATAAATGTATAATTGAAAATGGATTTTGTATCTTAAGAGTGGCTGCAGTTGTGCGATTTTACTGCTTTATAAAGCTAAATTATATTTTTAAAAAGTTTCATTAAAAAGTTTCACTTAAATTCAAAGACCATGGTCTAGTCATTTTAAAAGAAAGTAAAGTTGAACTTCAAAAATGTCCTATTCAATAAGGACTTAGAAAATAAGCTCTTTAGTTATCCATCTTCCCATCTCCAAAGAAACAACACATTTTTTGCTAGCTGATTTATTTATTGAACCGAAATAGTACAGTGCATTTAAGTGTTAAAACGGAAATATGTCCATACAACAATTACAATTTATGTTTTGCCACGTTACCAGTTATTAACTAATTTTGCCTTTATATAGTTGCGCATACGTATATACTTAGTTCGAAATAAACAGAAGCTAAGCGAAATTGAAATCTATGCTTTGGCGCTTTTCTGGTTTTGATTAAATTGCATTTCGCTTTCGGTTAAATCATTCAATTGGGGTTACCATATAGAGTGCACGTGTTCTTGTGTGTATAGGTATATAAATATTTTCTGAAATATATACTAGACTAAATTGAAATATATCCTTGAATCGTGTGTGTGTGTGTGTGCCTAGGTGCTACTAAAAGAAATATTACTGTGGAAAGGGTAAAGTATTGAAATAGAATTTTGGGTTGGAACTCTAAGTTGCAGCTGCGTTGTCAGTAGTGTCTTTTATCGCCAGTTTCTCCATCTTCGTTTCTGTTTTAATTTCCGTTTCCATAGCAGCGACATCCTTAGGCTCCTTTAACTGTCAATTCTCCACGGACATGTTGCCAATATCGTCGTTTATGGCCAAAACCTGGCTGATGAAGCTCTGGTCGGTGACCACCTCGGCCAGGGATTTGCACAGTTCGGTCAGTTCCGGCAGGGGCATCTTCAGTTGCGGCGCCAGCCTGCTGAGATGTTGAGCCACGTAGTCCGGCAGCTGGAGGGGATTAAAAGCTAGATTAGAAATAATTTTCTCTGGGTTTCTCCATCTGGGGCAATCCTCACCTTTCCCTTGCCCACTTTGAAGGCGCTGAACATCAGCTTCGTTCGCACCCGCTGCTCATTGGGTCCGTCGTAGAAGATGGTCAGATAGGCCTCCTGGCCATTGGCCACCAGCGGGAAGTAGATACCCGCATACACCTGACCCTTGGCATCGCGAGAGAGCAGCGACCGGAAGTTGTAGACCAGATTACGACGCACCGTCACATCGATGGCCGTGATGTACTCCTGGGCCACGTAGATCAGCGAGGTCTTGTAGCTGGTATCATCGCCACGGATCTCGCGCTCCTTCCACTCCACGAACTTCCCGTTCTGCTGGCTATAAGCATAGCAATAGTCCCGCTGCAGATGCGGCTCCTTGGATTGGGTGAACCAGCCTGGAAGAAGACAATACACCATACTATGAGTAAGTAACTCCAAAACAAAGAGAAATAATCTTTCACTTTGAGAGAAATTTTCTGGAATTGAGAGAAATGTTCTTGAATTGACGAATATGTTCTTGAATTGAGAGAAATGTTCTCGAATTGAAAGAAACGTTCTTGAATTAAGGGGAATGTTCTTGAATTGAGAGAAATGTTCTTGAATTGAGGGGAATGTTCTTGAATTGAGGGAAATGTTCTTAAATCGAGCGAAATGTTCTTAAATTGAAATAAATTTTCTTGAATAGAAAAAAATGTTCTTGAATTGAGAGAAATGTTATTGAATTGTAATTACCGACAATTGCACTTGTTTCGGGCACATTGAAAACATTTTAAACTTAAGAACTTTCGTTATATTTTTAAGACCGATTTCAATTTTGAGTACATAGTGAGAAATCTCTCTGTGAAAAAGAAATAGAGACCCCAACTCACCCGTGTGTGGATAGCTCTGATCCTGCATGACAGTCACTGCTCGGCTGACATGGTATCCTGGGTCCAGGATCATCACACCCCGTCGCTCGCCGATGGCTACGCGCATGGCCACCATCACGTGCTCCTTCTCCACACCCGCGTCCACCGAGTTAAGGCCACACTCCTCGTCCAGTTGCACGTAGTCCTGGCAGTCCATCACCTGCTCCTCGCAGGACACCACGTACAGGTAGTTGGCCAGCACGGGGAACAGCTGGACCATCCTGGCCATGATCTCGAAGGCCAGGGAGACACACATGTGATGGCGCCGATTGATGGGCACATCGTAGAACTGGAAGAAGCTGCGCAGATCGGAGCGACGGGTGCGCTTGAAGCTGCGATAGAAGTCGACGAAGAGGTTGACCGTGTTGTAGTGCGTCTCCTCCAGCATCCGCTGCAGCGTGGTCTCCACAATCCCGTTCAGCTCCTCGTACTGCCAGACGTTGTCGAAGATCAGGGTGCCCTTGCCCCCCGCCTCCGAGCTCCAGTCGGGCAGCGGCAGCGGATGGCCCAGGGGCCACACTCCGTTCATCTGGTTGAAGGCCTCCAGATCGTAGCCATCGCCCACGATCCACTGACCAGCGGGAATCCCCACAATCTGCTGTCTGGCCAGCAGCTGCCTGATGTCGGAGTAGCGCTCCGATTTATCCACCGATGTCAGGTCGGTCGGAGGCACCAGCTCCTCGTCCTCCAAGTCCTCCAGATCCTCCTCTTCGCTGGAGGTGGAGGGTGTGCGACGGATGGCGCCAGTGCCATGTCCAGTTGGTTGCTCACTCGCGGCATTAGATCGCGTCGTAGTCAATCCCAATCCCCGGCCGAGTCCGAGCACCAACCCATCCGCCAGCTGCTGATCCGCCGGGAGCAACGGATCCTGGGCAGCGGCGGCACCGGGGGCGACCTCCTCCGCGATCGGAGGGGCCACTCCCCCATCCCGTCGGTGGCTGGCGGCAACGGCGAGTCAACTCGGCCATTCGGAGCCCCAGCGGCCCACGGTGGGCACATAGCCACTTTCGCAATCATTGAGCGTGGCGTCTAGTTGAATGTTGGCGAACGTTTGTTGGCTGGAATGCAGCGGTGATTGGGCAGCTTGGCCAGCCTGGGTGGCTCCTACTCCAGCACCGATCAGACTAATCCGGCCCTGCGCTCGCTTGAACAGGAGGTCCGGCTCGTCTCCAAGTTTCGACGTTGGTTTAGACTGATCTGTTTGTGGGGGAGATACAAGGGAAGGTTTATAAGAAGGGGCTTTAAAATCTGATAAAGAAGAAGGTACATATTGGTATGGCCTAAAACCTAGGTTCATCCTAACTTATGTACTTCAAAATATGTACATCCCAATTAAACTATTTAGAATCTCCTTAACTATTTAAGATGGTTAATGGAACAGGTTAGCTAAGTATATTTAGATCTTCTATATAATTTCATTCTTATAGACCTTGATAATGAACAATAAATAATATGTACTTGGAAATCAATTATATAAACCCATTAAGATTAGACGAGGGAGCTACAACCTCAGTTTTATAATCTAGAGCTACAGATTAGACATAACCCATGTCAGACCCTTGACCTAAACCTTGGTTGATCCCTTTACTGATTAGGGATCAGTACTGTAATTGGCTACGATCTTAACTCAGCAGGTAAGTCTGCCCTTCTCAAAGTCAAATGGACCTATAATTACCCCTAGGTATAAAAACCCCCGTATAACAACCATCTGTCTGTCTGGTCTATGGTTTTTCGAGCAGTGTGTTGCCAGGGTGGCAATCATCTATCTCGATGTACAGTCGTTCGACAAGCGGGCAATAAACAATTGCCATACGACAATACAATGTCCATACGTAAGCGCAGACGTTATCATCGAGAGGCAGGAAGTGGGCGGGCACATCTAAAATGGGTTTCGAGTGCTGATTGCTAACTTTCGTTGGTTGCAGCCAATAAAACACAATAAGTGCGAAGACATAAACAGAGTCCACGTGCCCTGGAATCTCTAGTTCCATATGTAAGTGGAGAATACCGAATCGAAATATAAATAGAGGTCAGGGGGCACAGCATGTGATATTGTATTCTGCGAAATCTCGACTGGCGTCATGCGCTTATCTTGTTTTGGTTTCGGGCGTATGTTTTTGATTAGACATTCTGCGTCGCGAATTTTCTTTGTTTGTAATATGACTCAATGTAGAGCACAAAAGCTATGAGGTGCCATATTCAAAACATTCGCAGGCACGCGCAATTGTTGCTAATTACACGTGAATCACCGGATGTGAGAGTGGGCTATAAAGTTTATTTTTCCCTATTTTTTCAGACCTCACAACAATGTATTTGTAAACAGCACTTTGCTTATTTTCATGGTCTTGCCACTGAGTAATCTGCTTTGTCTTGGCTCTGACCATATCATTTTTCGTCTGTGCAAATGTTTTCTGGGTAAAAAACCTGGCTACTGTTTGTAATATTTTAAGATTACTAGTTGAGATTATTTTTTTCCCCTTTACTGCTGCAACAATATTATATTTTTTATAGCCTCGACTGATGTTCTAACGTTCTGTCCAATGTATTGTGTTTTTCCCAATGGTTAGTATTACAATCTATAGTGTTTTCCCCATAAATAGTATCTCCTAGATTTATCTCATTACTTACCCATACAATGGCCTAAGCCCAATAAACGAAATTGTTGTTTTCCTGGTTAAGATCTCGGTTTTAGTTCGCTTTTTCACACACAACTTTGTATTCTCTGCGGTATTTCGCTTGGTTACCACTTGAAAGTCTGGGTTGATTTGGCTTCGATTCGGTTGGTAGGATGCAACAGTTGCTTTTCAACCGTTGATTAGTATTTTCAATTTGATTTTTCTCGACGCGCGTGCGTGGAAAACCGAACGGAAGGAAAAATAAAATAAGGGGAACGCGAACTAAAAGCAAACAACTTGTTGTTTGCGGTTTTTGCCGTGGCTTTGTCTTCGTTTGTTTGTTTAGATTTTTGCTTTCAATACAATTTGTTTGGTTTTTTAATTAGAGGTCGCTTTGCCTGTTCAATGCAGGTCCGAGTTTTTTAACGATATTGGCGAATTAATCGACATCGAAGAGGATTTTGTTCGACACTGGGCAGCGATACTATATGCACTTGCACTTGGCTATTTTCGATGGCTGGTTGATTTTCCTTTTCCCTTGGCTTTTCCGATGCTTTGAAGGCTCCGTGAGCTCCGTTGACGACGAGAGACGCGTAGCGACTGATGAAAATCGGGTGCGAGCACGCTGCTATATAAACGATCGGCCAGTCTCGAAGTCGGAACTCTCTGCCGACGTCGACACAGTTTGTATTGTACCGTACCGTTCGTATTTAATTCGCACGAACTCAAAATATTTCAATTTATGACGCAAAAAAAGCTTGAAAAATTCCACAAAAGAGATAAGGGGGGTATAGTAGTCGAACTTGAACGCGATTTTTGTTTTGCTCCAACGGTTCGTAAGTAAACAAATCGGATGTTTTTGTTTTGGGCAACGGATGTTGGGATAGGAACACTGTAACGAAAAGAAAGAGAGACGAAGTCTGAATATGAGCTTCGCTTAAGGGTCTTAAGATTAACTAAACTAATACGCAAATAATTCACCCTAATTTGGTCTGGTGATTTCACCATGATAAACAGTAAGTCACGCAATTTATTCATTTGCTTACTTTGATTTTAGTTGCTAAATCTTATCGCACTGAGTCAACGGTTGTTTATGATCTATTTATGTGGTTATGTCGTTCCCCTCGGGATGGAAAACCTTGGATTTTATAACCGACCAAGCGGAAAATTTGTCCCCGGAGTTTGTTTTCACTGCTATTACACGACTGGATGCACTCCCCATGGATACACTGTGATTTTCCCACAAATCTGTTGGAAGGGCAAGGGACATTTGCCTCTCGAAATGCCAACTGGTTGCAACCAAGCAAGGTCGCAAGGGGGAAAAGTGGGCGGAAAGGGGCTGTCGGAAAACGCCTGCCAACTACGTATACGTATTATTCTAATAAACAAAACGCTTATGCGGCCCAGGATTTTACAAGTGTCACAAAATAATTGGCATCCAATGGGCTTTGCCTAGTTACGAGGGGCCAACTGGTTGTATATGACAACAAAAAAGTACAGTACAACTTCCATAATGTCACACACATTTGTATTTATAAATAAACAGAATTAAAAACTCAATGTAGAAAATACAATGGCATATAAAATTGATGTTTCGTAAGAATTTAAATTAAATTTCTTAAAAAAAAAAAAAAATTATAAAACAGTACAGTACAACTTCTATTATGACACTCCCATTTGTATTTATAAATAAACAGAATTAAGAGAACTAAAAACTCAATGTAGGAAATACAATAGCACATAAAAAAAAATAAATAAAAATGTAATTTTTGATACCTAGCATAACTGTAACTGCTCAAAATTAAATTAAATAGAACACATAAAAATTGTATATGAGATAGATCGATTCTAACAACCTAAAAGAGTTGTGTTTCAAAGTCTAAAATGATATATCTTCGGGATAACTTCAGAATCGAGAGTTTCCCCAGTAAAAAGTAGGAACATTCATTTAATCGACCCTTTACTGTTATCACATTCGTAGGCCTAGGGCGCCTTTGGCAGCAGCTCTTGCGATCCGATTTTTCTCGAGGCCCCAGTACGCGGAACATTGCCAAAGCCGTGCCGCTTTCCTATTGTTGTTGTTTACGGATTGTGCCAACCAGGCCGACTGTCACGCCCCCTCCGCCCCCCAACCCCCGCCTGTGTGGGCCGTTTTATATAGCTGCCATATAGTCGAGAGATCTGTATATCTGCGCCGTAATGAAATTCTTGCCGTGTTTGCCGAGATGTAGACAAACATTTTTGATGGTGCAATTTGAATTAAGTACGAGTATATTGCACTAGTCCAAGGTCATTCATAAGAACAAAACTAGAAAAACTGCAATTGAATACGAGGAGGGAGAGAACAAACGACACAGTCTAATTAAAACCACAAAAAAAACGCAGTTTTTTATAGATTACACGTTTATCTCGCCAACATTTAAGTTTAGAAGAACACTAAATTTATGAATGTTATAAAGAACGAATTTTTGGGCTATTTTTTATACCATGCCATATTTAGTTATCAGGGGAGTTATTTCGCGGAATGAAAAATTATGACCTTTTAGTATCAATTTTTAGGAACTGAAGACTCTTTTAGTTCTTGTTATTGGTTCAGATGTTTGTGAATTGGTACCTCCCATCTTTTCCAATTATATTTTTAAAAATAAATTGGAACAAATTCAAGAGGCACTTTTATAGATTAACTGGCATTATATCATTAGTTTAGGGGCTGTCCATATATTACGTAATCACGTTTTTGGTGATTTTTGACCCCCTCCCCCTGGTGATCAAACGTAATCATTCAATAAACAACCCCCCAATGATTACGTAATCCCAAGAATAAAATTTTTTTTGTTTTAATCTGTGGATTCAAACGGAGATGCAACCCAATCTTATATATTGTTTATAAATGGAGTTTGGTATGACACATTCGGTTCGTCTACGCTGAAATTATCTCCAACATACTCTTCGTCAAGCCATTTCAGGTCTTCGCATCCTTCGTGTGATTGAACCACTAAACATTGTCTTTTTCGCCGCCCAGCCACTAAAAAAATTTTTCTCTGCTTTCCTATCTAAGTTTGTAGATATAATTAAAGGAAAAAGTTTTTAAATAAATTCTTTAAATAAAAAAATACATATAAAATGATTACGTAATCATTGTGCAAGACCCTCCCCTCCCCATGTAATCAAACATAATCATTTCAATGACCCCCTCCCCCTAGGTGATTACGTAATATATGGACAGCCCCTTAGCTTTTAAAAAAAAATGTTTTTCTAATTTATGTGCACTTTCAATATGGAACAGAAGGAAATATAGTGGCAAATTTGCAATGTGAAATCAATTCAGAGGGCATGCTTCACATAAACTATTGAACGAATTAATATTTATTAATTAGTTAATGAATTCGCTGCGCAAAAGAAGCTCAGGGCTGTGTGGCAGACGATTTACGAGGCAGGCCAATACCAATTGGCAGCAAATAAGGTTGGTTATTGGATGAGTTTTTTATTTCAGCGGAGCGGAAGGCAAAGTTCGGAGGTCGTGGGCTGAGCTTTATTGGCTTATTCTTAGACTTGCGGGCCTTCAGTGCTCCATTGACGTCACTGGAGAAATGTGAGCGATTTGCGGCTGATGAAACTAGTTCAATGTCGCTGGCCAACTCTGACGTCATCGTCAGGAGACATTGCTCATCCGCCAGGTCAGCCTAGCCGGCCGGCCTCTGGAATGGGGAAAGTGGGATTCGATTGGAGGAGGGTGGTGGAATTGTATTCATCATCCCATGACCCGGGGCCTTCCAGGAACTTCCCTGCGCCACGTGTCGCGTGTCTGGCGTGCGTATTTGTAAACAACAGCAATCGCCTGTCGGCTTGCATGTATGGGTAAGCGATGCTTTGTCCTTTTTACTATCAAAACAACAGGATGTCGAGGCGCAGGCGCTGGAAAGCAGTGGAAATTCCAAATGGAACACAGTCTGGAAATCGAGGAAGGCGGAACAAGAAGAAAGTGCATTGCTGCACGACAGTCAGGGGCCTCCAAGTGTGGACACCTAGCCATTTAACTATTTATAATTAAAATATGTAAATAATAACTAATAAAAAATAAAATAAAAGCTCACTGTATATCAATTTAAGATAATATATTAGCCAAACAATTACATTTTTGTATCAGGTAATAACATAATATTTATCAGTGTACTTTACTTATTTAAATTTTCCTCATCTTTAACGATTAAAATTATACAAATTTGCTCAAAAGAAAATAAAATATAATACCCACTATATATACCTATTAGTTATTTCCCAAATTCTTTTAGTGGTTTTATTATGATTTCAAAAAGAGTAAAACTTGTTTGTATAATTATAATTGTTAGGCCTATTGCTAAAACGTTATTGTATTCAAAAATCCCCATGATAAAAATCATGAATTTATTAACTAATATCGTTATTAGCCCCATTTTTCGACCCACCACTGTCAACGGGGATGCCCTGCTTTTGCGCACTTTTATTGACCATTTCTTTGTTGTCTGTCGTTGGTGTTGTCGCTTGGTCTGAGTTGCCTAGTAACCGCAGGCAGTTTTATGGATAGTTGGGGACCCAACTGCAGCGGGAAGGACGGGCAAGCGAAAGGCCAAATTGCAAAATCGATAGAGGGAGTTGGGAACCATCAGCACTGGCTTACAATATAATATTACCTTATTTTGAATTCGACTCGCAGGACGGCATACACAAAATCAAACGCCGCCTGCCGAAGGGAGTAACTGAGATATGTGCCAGGGGCCTCTTACAGCTTTTTACTCCAGTTGTAGGAGCCGTTGTAGAAAAATAAAATCAATATTATCATTTTGGTGTGCAAATTGAGGACAGTCATCGCACTAGATTTCGCAACACGCTTTTTAAGACGGGTTTCTGAGGACTGAAACTTAATATTTGGGTTTCGAAAAACGATTAGTTTTTATGCCTTTTGCGTTTGAGTGTCATTTAAGTACAGAGTACAGAACTCGCGAAATCTGGCTATAGCACTAAACTTTAAACGAGTTTCGAGAAATCTCTATTTACTGAAATATTTCAGTATTTAATCTATTTTTAATTGCATTTATTTTGTCCTTATTTTGCCAGGGCGTGTTGCACAGTTGAACGTGGAAAACTCGACTGTGACTTAGGAACTGAATCAGCAGAGCTTTTCCAATTTCCAAGCCGATTTCCAATAACCTTCCAATCTCTGTTTCCCGTTATGCTTTGTTGCTTGTTAGGCGACGTGGCAATCGCCGTGTCCTTAGAAGATTGTCTTGTCTTTGTCCTTTGTTTGAAAGGAAAAATAAAGTTGCCTTCCTTATTCAGAAATATGTATATTGGTTAATAATTCTTGGGAAACCAGCTCTCTTTAGGAAATACACTAGTTATAAACTAATCTCTAAGTGGACTCATCCATCCACTGCGGTATTCCCCATATAATTTGTTGATGAATTCACAAAATGATTCACTAAATAAATATACTTATAAATGAATTAATGAAATTACTGCTGAACTTACTATTTATTTAGTTAGTTTAATAAGAAATTAAATTATTAAATCCCTAAAAATAAAATATGAAATTCATTTGGAAAGTTTATAGGTTGTAATTATAAGCACAGAGTTGTTTATAAGATACATGCAATACCATTACGTTATTCAGACCTTTTAAGATTCATTTAGAAATTCTTAGATTTTTTTAAGAAAATAACGAAAAAATCAGAACTACGTGTCATTGATTTGACTAGAGAAATAAAGAATTTTACAAAAATGAACTGGGCGATAATTCCAGCAAGATGTTGTGCTGATGAAAACAATGTCAATGCGGATTTGGAGCCACAGCACAGTCGCACTTTCACTAATGGCAATGGTAATCCTGGCGAGCGTTGGACAATCAACCGGTCGATCCGGGGGCCAATCAGATTCAAATGTTCCCTGGTCTAGGCGGCACTACAGCAGCGAAAGAAGGGACGAGAAGGATTGGCGGGATATGCCACCAGCGGAGCCACGATTCCTCTCCGATCCGGAGGTACTCTTCCAACGGTTGGACGACATGGAGCAGAAGGGCATTAAGTCAGTGAGTCCTGATAAAGGATCATCTCTTAGCAAGGCAAAGTCGGAAAACTTCCTAGTTGGTTCCAAGAATATTAACGACCAGTTGTTCAAACAAGAGCTATCCAAATTTCCCACGATTGACCAGGAGTTGGGCCAGGATTATGGTCTTGCAAAGAAGGTGGAGGATCCCTTCGAGTCACTGGCCCGAATGAATTTTAATGAACAGCCCCTGGAGCATAAAACTGATAGGGAATTGAAGAGAATGTTGGGTTACTACCGGCGAAAGGATCGGGATGAACAGCCCGCTGTGGCCACGGCCAATCTGTTGGCCAAGGTCATTAGCTCCAAGGTGGATCAACCGAGGGTGTCGTTAAAAGGTCAGGGTCAGACCTGTCGGGCCACCACACCACGTCCGTTGTCCACGATGAGAAGCACCACCACGACGACAACCCGGCGGACATCCACTAGCACCACCAACCGTAGTCCCTCCACTTTCTGCCTGCCCGAACCTGAACCCTCTGCCGATCGGCTTATCAAGCTCCTGCCTTCAACTCCACCACCAGCTCCTCCTCCACCTCCACGTCCTCCTCCAGCCACTCGAAAGCCTTGCGGAAATCGGGTAAAGCCCAGTAAGTGCCGAATGAAATCCAAGTCCAAAAAACATGGAGGCACCAAGAAGCTGCTAGACATAATTTTGTCTACCAAGCAGCATGCACTTTCGGTGCTCAAGTGCCTCAACCACCTGGAAATGGAGCTGCTCAGCAGGTCGGCAGAGGACGAGGGTTCGGATAAGCTAAGGGCTAAGGTACAACCGGGTCCAAAAAAGACCTCTGAACGATTGGAGAAACCCCCGAAGACCAATTCTCGGGTATTCTCCTTCGGAATACGACCGGCGAGCCAAAAGGAAAGCATGTACGATTTGGCTTTGGCCAAGGAGGAGGAACTGAAGCTGGAGGATCGGGTGTGGGAGGAGCACCAGCAGCAGATGAAGCTGAGGAGGCCCATAAAACCGAAGCGTTTCGAGGCTGCTCCGGAGGCGGCTGCTCGACTGGAACTCTTACAGGAACCTCGAAAGCCCCACGAGTCCTTGGATCCCTTGGATTCCGTGGAACCAAAGACTCCCGCCGACGACAGACGCATTAATCTGGAAGCTTTGAGCGTGGTCGTGAAACCCATGTCCCCTCCGGTTCCCAGGAAGGATTCATCCAATCCTTCAGCCCACTGGAATCAATCTCTTTTACCCCGGGCCGAAATGAAAGCCATTCGAGTGGAGGGCCCCATTGATGACGAACTGCAGCCAAGTAAAATGTTGCAAAAGCGAAGGAGGAAAAAGAAAAAACACAAGCTATATGCCCAGGAACAGCAGACGGAAGCCAATAGACTTCCCATTGCCGGCGTTTTCTATTAGGGCCCTTATATAAACATAAGCGGTGTTTTATTTGAAATATTTTCTAAAAATAAAAATATATTTTTGACAAAACCAAAATTCAAAGTTTGGCGGTCTTTTTAAAATACCAAACAAAAGTTTTTGGTATGTCCCTGCTCATTTTAGTATTTTTCTGGCATCCAGCTTACGGCCACGCTAAAGGGCGCCGAAAATTCAGAAACGTCAAAAAGAAGGATTTCGCTTTTTCCGCAGCGTTTTTTTTTAGTTGTCTTGCTTTTGAAACATTCGAGTTCTTCTAACTTAATAGTGGTTAATAATATAATAAGTTCTTGAAAAATAAAGTGAAGAAAAGCCGGAATACAAGGCAAGCACGGACGAAGAAAGTGCAAAAAGGAATAGAATCAGCGCGTTCGGCGCCATACTGGATTTTCCGATTCACTGGAAAAGCAGCAAAAGTCTCATTTATGCAGATTGCAGTGCATATCTAGCTGAGACTTGTTTTTTTTATTTATTTGGTAAGTGTAGGGAAAGTGGATTATAATAGTGGGTTTTCCATTGAAACACAAATTTCTAGTGCAAGTAACGGGAGTTTGTTTATATGCGCAGCAGCGCTGGACACTTCAAAAGAGAGACGAAAAATGTTATGTGAAAGTTCTTGAATTTCTTAAAGATGGATTCTGCGTTAAATAAATGGAAATTTTAAATTCGACACGTTACTACTTAAATTGTTTGTTTCATTTCTGCTTCTGCGCCGCCGCTTACGTCCGTTTCTCTTTAATCAGTCTCTCTCTCCTTTCTTATCCGCCTTATCTATTCGCGTCCCTTTTTGTTTGGCCAATTTAATTTTGAGCACTGAAAAAAACAATTTACATATATCATTTCCATTTGCCAGGTGCAAAATGATATGCAAAATAAAATATATATTTTTTTTATTAATTATTTATAAGCTAACTTTAAATAAAAATCTTAAATGAAACTAATGGGTATTGGTGGCTAGTCTATGGTCTATTTCTATGATTTTCTTGCATTTAATTTAAAGTTTCATGACTTACACAGCCATATGGCTGTAAAGGTGTTTTCATATTAATCATGTTTGCAAGTGTTGGTAGCCTCATATCATTGTTCAAACTATTGTGTAATGAGCTCTGCTTTTTTTCTGTGCATTCTTAATTGCTGCCGTTTTTGGGGGTGGCGGTGGGCGCACGCATTCCACGCCACTTGAATCATGCTCAATGGATTGATACTCTCTCTTCACCTCTCTCTTTCGCAGATTAGTTGACCGATCTCCGTTCCGATGGAGCAGGAAGAGGAGATCCTAACGCATGTGGCCAAAGTGGTCAGGGCCCTGATCACGTCCGCCAAGCCTCCGGTCGAATTGAAGTCCATCTGCAGGGATTACGTGGCTATCGAGGGTGAGCAGATGCCCTTCCGCAAACTGGGCTACTCGAATCCCCAGGAATTGCTTCAGGACACCGAAGAGTTCAACTTTAACAGTTACGGCAATCAGGTAAATGTCATGGCCCAATAAGCCAAAATGTCACACCTTTCCCTTTTGCACTTACATACTTTTATTTGTGTTGCCAAGATTCTTGGCGAATTACTGTATATCGCAAATGTCTGAGAGAGCGGCTCTCCGCCACCCACTTTAACTGCTTTCTTTCGCCCACTTTGCTGAGCTTGCTCTCTCTCTCTCTCACTTGCGCAGCTTTTAAGGCAGAGAGCTGCCAGTGCTGGCAACTAATAACTCAAAAAGTAGCCAAATATTTGATTTAAAGAAATTTAATACAAATGTACTTATTTTTAATGATTTTAATATTTTACTAAATTATAATTATTTTATTTTCCTTTGTTACAAAATACACATTATTGCATTAGGTCATTCATACTTCTTTATAGTAACTAGCATGCCTTGATAATTCAGTTACAGCATTGATGTTATAAAGCACTGACATCGTCAGTAAGCAGCTTTTATAGTTTGTAAAGAATTATATCCGGCTCCAAGAATTAAAAAATCATTTACGGAAACCAATCTTTCTACGTAAACATTCGAATTTGATATAAATTTCGTTTTTAATACGCAGTTTACGATTCGTGGTAATTTATAAAAAGAATTTTAAAACAAATTTCTACATAAGTGTCACTTAAGTATAAAAATGTTCTTTCTTCATAAAGCCATATACAGTTTTCAAGCGCGTTTTTATAGATAAAAAGCCAGATTGGCTTGGAAAGCAGTCAGGCTGTCATCACCGTTGGCGGATGAGCTTTTGGCGAGCGGCGACCGCTGCTTTCAGTCGAATTCTCTGGCTGAACGAGTGCGGTGAGCCGCTGCTGCTGCGCCGCTTCTTTCCCGCTCCGCTGTGACCGCCCGCCCGACCGACCGACCGCTCGACCGCTCCGCCCGCTCTCTCCAACGAAGGGGCAACGTGTCAACGGCAACGGCGTCTTCTTCTTTTCATCTCCGCCGAGAAAAGTGTAAACAATGGATCTTACTTACTCTAGTTTCGTTTTCGCTTGCATATGTAAATCCATATATTAACTAGTCTCGCCTTGAGTCGTGTTTTCCACGATTTGTGCTGATTAAGCGCTTTGCTTTAATAAATGCAGCGACAGCCAAAAACAAAAGTGTATAACGCGAAAATCGAAAAGGCCAGCAATTTAAAATTGGCTGAGTGTGTGTATGCGATTGCATGATTGCATGGTGAAAGTGAACGAACGCTGTTTGTTGTTGGCTATCATTTGCTTTTTTCTCTATAAATGTCTGTCCATCTGGGCGAAATGCACTTGAACTGTTTGCATTATTCTTGTTTTGCCGTCTGTTTTCTCACCTGTGGGCGAGAAAGTGGGCGATTTGGGCAGGTTCTTCCGGCCAACGCTTTTGCATTGTTGCCAAATCAATAATCGTACGACCCACGGATGCAGCACGAAGCAAACGCATGAAAGTCGAGACCCGGGACAGCTGATGATATTCATTTAAATTTCAATTATGTATTCCGTATCAGAGCCAGCATTCCGAGCTCTCGCTCTGCACTATTATCACGTCTTGGGTTTCAAAGCCCTGCCCATATCCAGAACCCACTGATTCGCCACTTGGAGCTGTGACCCCATAAAGACGATTGCAGCAGCAGTACTCAATGTGATTCATAAACAAAAAAAATCAACTTCAAACAACCGCTCTCGGATTTCCAAACGCTTGAGTAAAACTCATTGGGCTTGGCCGTAAAGTAGCTGGCTCTGCAGTTTTATGGGGCATTGGTTTGGATTACCCAAACTCAAGAGTTGTCCAAGCGGATCAACTTTCCCTTTCCAGAAATAGGGTTCTCTATTTGAAAGTCATTGAGACTGAGTATCATGTTAAAACTCCTTCAATATCTGGCATTTTTGTGCTAAAAATAATAACCATTAGAAAAGCCAAAGCTTACTTCAAAAAAATTACTTTTAAAATTAAAAATAATTCAAAAAATTTTTAAAAAGAAGGTTATTATTAAGAATAGTTTGACAAACTCAATAGTTGTCTAATCCACTTTCCGTTCCCAGAAATACGGTTCCTTATTTGAAAGTCATTGTAAAACTAAGTATCAGGTTAAAAACTCCTTTAATATCTGGAGTTTGTGTAGTAAAACAATAATCATATTGGCTACAACTTTTTACATCAAAAATAATTATAATTATCTTTAAAACTAAAAATTATTAAAAATAAGAGTACCGTTAAGTTTGTCATTGGTTTGGATTACCCAAACTTAATAGGGTTCTTTATTTGAAAGCCATTGTGAAACTAAAGATCAGGCTAAATAAAATAACAACAATTTTGGGAAGCCACAGCTTTTTACGTCAAAAAGAATAATTTTCAAAAATTAATCAATAAGAAGGATATTATTAAATAATGTTTCCTTTTTTTCTAATTGCTTCAAAACTAACTGAATTTCCATTCTTATCCCGTAACAGGTATTCATCAGTGCTAAATATAACGCCAAGACTGAGCACATTGCGCGTATGGTGCGCCAGCAGAAGACCAGCAAATCGAAGTCAATCACAAAACCATCGGCAGCTGCCCAGCGAGCAGTCAGTCAGAAGTCCAACTACGCCAATAGCTACCAAAACAAGAGCAACTACAACCAGCAGAAATATCAGCAGCCTCAGCAGCGCTATTACCAACAGCCACAGTACTGGAATCACCAGCAGCAGCAACAGAGTTACCAGCAGCGACCTCAGCAGTACTATCAACCAGCCCAGCAACAACAGTACCATCAAGGATCCCAGCAAGAACGGTGGGATCACGACTTTTACTGGCACCAGCAGCAGCAGCGACAGCAACAGCTGGAGGCAGAGGAGACGCAGCGGAACCGGCAAAAAGCTGCAGAGCTGGAGGCGCAGCTCAAGCGGGATAGAGAGATTAGGGAAAACGCTGAACGTGTGAGGCTGGCAAAGGTCAAGCGAGAGCAGGAACTAAAGGAAGCAGCTGCTGAACGCGAGAAGCAGGAGAAGGCCAAGCGAGAGTCTGCTGAACGCGAGCAGCAGGCGAGGGCCAAGCGAGACCAGGAGCTAAAGGACTGCATTGAGCAGGAACTGAGGGCCAAGATCAATCAGGATTGGCAGAGCAGGCAGCAAGAGTTTCAGGCACAGCTTGAGGAGCAGCTGCAGGCGTTGAAGAGGCAGCACGAGCAGGACCTCAAAAAGCGAGAGGAGGACTTGGAAAGTCTAAGGAAGGAGTTCCAGAGAAAGGAGCAAAGGGAGAAACTTAGGGAAGCCGAGAGTCGGGAGCAGCAGGAACGCGAGGAGAAGGAGAGAAGGGAGAGAAAGGAACGCGAGGAGCAGGAGAAGAAGGAAAGGAAGGAACGCGAGGAGAAGGAGATAAGCGAAAGGAAAGATTCCGAGGAGTTACTGCAGGATCTGGCTCAGCCGGCGACCATGCGAGCAGCGAAGTTGGATCAGGAGAAGATCCTAGTGACGATTGCAAACGACAAGGCGCCCGCCATGAATGGACACGGTCAGAACCATGCCAAATCCAACGGACATGGCAAACCGCCACTGCGTGCCATCCTGGGTAATAGTGCACCGCAGCAGCGCCAACAAGAAGCAAGCAGCGTTTTCAACAGCCCTGAATCCAACTACAGGCGGCCGCTGCATCCCCGCGTAATGCATCCCGGACAGGTGCGCTCTACGGGCAGCTCTGTGAATCATAGACTGAAAGTGACGCCGCAATTGAATGCTCCAACGCCAGCGGGAGCGCCCATTACGCCACCGGCATCGCCGGAGAATGCTCAAACGAAACCAGCTGCCAAAGCAACGCCCAAGGATGATGTTCTAAGAGTGCAGGGATCCCAAGTGCAGCCAGTCAAAGCCAATTCCACTCCGAAAGCCAAGGTGTCGCTTAAACTCGACTCTTCCTTCGATGCCGTTTCCTCGCTGAATCTCTATTGCGAGGAGAATGACTTTGAGAAACCCACATTTAATATATTCAACAAGCCGCCTTACCTGCACTGTTCCGTGCGGATCGCTGGCGATGTGTACAGCAGCTATCCGCAGGAGTTCTCCGATGCGGAGACTGCCTACCAGCGCACAGCCCAGATCGCCATTCAGCGCATCCAGCACGCCGAGTCGCACCAAAAGCTCACCGTCTGCACGCTCAGCGATGAGGAGTTCATCGACGGCCTGTACAAGGAGCTGTTGAAGTACCCGCACGGCATACTGGGCCACAAGCTGGAGGATTGGTACGGCCGAACCTTCCGGCAGCATTTGCCCAGCCATTGGTACGATCTGATCATTGAGTCGAACCAAATTCGCGTGGAGCACGGCATCGATCCGAGGATAATACTGTTTGCCAACGAGCCCGGATCCCCGCAACCGATTCGCATCAATACGAGCAGCATTCTGCCGCAATTGGAGCTGCCCTGGCAGCCGAACGAGAGTGGATCGCACGACTGGAACATGTTCATCAGCCACTGCGACTCCACCAAGCGGGTGTGGGCCCGACTGATCGATCAGATAGCCAACTTTGAGGAGCTGACGAAGCACATGGGCCGGCAAATGGAAGCTCCACTCTTCCGACAGAAGGTGCCCAAGCCTCAGGTGCAGGAAATCTATCTGGTTGAGATCCCCGACGGCTGGAACCGGGTGCGGGTGATCGCCGTGAACGAGGAGCAGCGTTCGTGCCGCTGTCACTTTGTGGACTTTGGCGATGTGTCGCTGTTTGACTTTGAGGAGCTATTCCAGTGCCCGCCGCAATTCAAGGTGCTGCCGGCGCAGGCCATTTGCCTGAGCATGTACGCGTTGGACAAGTTCGAGGATCATCCGCACGCCCAGCAGGTGCTGACGAAGGAGCTGGACAACCAGACGGTTGTGGCCCATGTGCTGACCACCGAGAAGCAGTTCGTGGAACTCGGAGGCGCAGCGCAGGGGGTGGAAGAGAATGGCAAGCGTCGCGCCTGTTTGGTGGCCACGTTGTACGACACCTCAACTGCGGAGGACATTCACTTAAACGATCTGGTCGCCAGCAGGATCACAAAGTGCACGCCGGCACCTTCGCTGAGTGACGAGAAGAAGATCGGCAAGACCACTCCCATTCTTGTGTCCCACATCAACGAGGATGGCGATCTGATGGTGCTGCTGCGCAACGATGATCTTAAGTTTGTGGAGCGAAGCATCGCGCAAACAGTTGCTGATCTGGGCGAGCAGGATCGAGTGAGCTACTCCGATCTGCTTCACGACCGTCATGTCTTCGTGTGCGATGAGTCCGTTGAAGGACTGAAGCAGTGGTTCCGCGGGCGATTGGTCAGCAGACCTAAAAACCCAGAGGAGGAGACCTTCGACGTCTACTACGTGGACGACGGACGGCAGCGCAAGACGCACATCTCCAATATTTACCGACTGGAAGCCAACAACAGGGCGCTGGCAACGTTCCCGCCGCAGGCACTGCCCGTTCGCCTGCACGACGTTCCCGAAATTGCGGGTCAGATGCTGGGACGCCTTCGTGGATTGATGCCGCCGCGCAGCGAGGCTCTGGTGGGTTTTTTGATTATACTTAATACGTTTAAGGACTGATTTATATGGTAAACTTGCGTTACAGCTCAAGGTTGTGGCAAAGGATGGAGCGAAGCCCTTGGTCAACGTGTTTATTCGCGGCCAGGATCCCGAGTCCATGTACATGTGCGTGAATATCGGGCTTCGTCTGGAATTCGAGATGGCCAGGTAAGTGCCCTCATTTTGGCTGCTGTGCATTGTCTATTCATTCAATATCATTACGGTCCGTGTCATCTAATCCCATCCGCCATCAAGCTCCTTAACCAACGACATCTGAATAGTGACTGGTGCCCTATAAGTTCATTAATATTATACTCGATCCTTTGGTTAATGCTGTCTCTATATATTAGTGCTTTCGATAAACTGGAACTGACTTGATAAGCTATCGCTAACTCAAATTCGATCTACGCTAATGAAAATATCCCGAAAACAAACCTACTGTAAGCTAACCCTAAGTCATTCACATCTTTGTATATACTCTGAAAAATATACTCATAAGTTGCCACATTGCTACCCAAGTAAGCTAAAGAGCGAACAAATTTTTTAAACCTCGAAACCAACTATTATCCCTGCCCCTCCGATCCGGCTTCTTCTTACCTTCCCACCTCCCCACCTTCGATTCCGCCCCCTCCGCACAGCTCCAATCAGCCGGAGAAGTGCGACTATATGCTCCTGAGTTCCAACGCCCAGCAGCTGCCCAGACGCGGCAGCTTTAGCTCCGTCGTCTCCAGTCAGAGCAGCAGCAGCGACCTGGTCGCTCTCACTCCGCCGGTGACGCCACAGAAGGCGGCGACTGCAAGATCGGGAGCCACCCCCTTCTCGTCGCTCATGCTCAAGGATTACGAGGCCATTCCAGCGGTGGGCGCCTATTTCGAGGTGCGCGTATCGCTCTCCATCAATCCCGGTCACTTTGCGGTAAGTTCAGCTATGGTAATTGAATAACTCTATGTTGTAATATTATATCCTGCTTCAGGTGCAACCTTATAAATGCTACAACCAGCTGCAGACTTTGATGAAGGATCTGCAGGAGCATTGCAAAGGACCTGCTGCCAAGGCAGTTCAGCCCTCGCAACTGGCAATTGGAGAGGCCTACGCAGCTCCCGACAGCGACGGCGTCTATCATCGGTAAGGAGTTCTTTAGATACCAAGATTTCACCAAGGTATATATGGGCACTTCCACCAAAAAGTCCACAGTCTACATTTTTCTGTACATGTTAAATTATTAAGTTAAAAGCAAACAGTCGGTAATTCAGGGATAGAGGTAAAGAAATACACTTTACAAAACGCTAAGAAAAAATGTCCCGAGCGAATGTAATTGAAACTGCATAAAAAAAAACAACAAACAGCTTTTGAGTGAAACCAAAACCATTTCACAGCGACATGTTTGGACACCATTCTAAAAAAAATCGTATTCAAATATTCCATCAGAATTTGCTAAATTCTTTTGTTGAATCAACGATAACTTAAAAACTAAAAATAGTACAAAATCTTTGCACAAAATAGAGCTTGGGAAGAGTGAAATGGAAAGCCCATTATTTAAAATAAATTAAATTTTTTTCCAATTTTTTTTTTCAACTTCAAAGGTGTGCAAATGTCCCGAGCGACAATATGGAAGTGCCCATATTCATGCTTCCCTTTATGCTATTAATGAAACTATTAGATTTCTAAGACATTTCCTATTCTGTTCACTTGCAGCGTAAGTATTCGCAAGATTTACGATGAGATTATACACGTGCGTTTCGTGGACGTGGGCGACGACGGAGTGGTTGCCTGCGATCAACTGAAAACCCTGCAACCGGATTTGAGAAAGCTGCCCAAGATGGCACTGCCAGCCCAGTTATATGGTTAGTTTGAGATAAACTCAATCCTTTTGGCTCCCTAAACCATTTCCAATTTCCTGTACAGGCATTAAACTGACCGACGTTGTCTGGAGCAAGGATACCTGCGTCCGATTCCGCGAGATGACGCTGGGTCAAAAGTTCATCGGAATCGTGCGACGCATGCACAAACAGAGAGACGAAACGCGGGCACTGGGCCTGGAGCTAGTGGACGTTTCCACGCCGAAGGATATTAAGCTGCACGAGATTCTCGTCGAGGAGGAGCACGCACAGCCGGAAACGAAGGAAGTCTGAAATGGAGGAGACGAACCGCTTGAATTTGTTCACGTTTATGTTTGCTTAATCATAGTCTTAGGATTAGGGACACATGTAACTTATTACGACGACACATTCCGCCAGCAGGAAGCGATAATAGCCAATAAATTATGGTTTTTTCTATCGAGAGAAGGGATGAACTTGGTTGGCGGACTTGATGTTGGTCTTGACGGCCGAGGGCGCCTTGCCCAGCTGCTGCTGCACGTTGCCGGGACTCATGGCGGGTCCGCCCATGGGCGAGGGTGCCCGGATCGAGGGCGGCACCATCATCCCGGGTCCGGGACCATAATTGGTCAGCTTGAGGCCCTTGCCCATGCCGACGGCGGCCACCAGCAGCTGGGTGTCGGCCATGCTGCTCGTCTGCTGGATGCCGGTGCGCGAGGAGCTCTCGATCTCCCACTCCTCGCGCGCCTTGCTGACCATGTCGAGGACGTGGGAGACGACCTTGTTGTACTGGGTGACCTGCTTCATGGCCGCGTCGTTGGTGAGGTTGGCCGCCTTCTGTTCGTTCTGCTGCATCTTCTGCTCGGTAATCGGATCCGGGCGGGTCCTCAGGTAGTCGGGAACGATGTCGTGCGAGAAGACCGGCACCCGGCCCTCGGTGATGTTGATCAGGGTCTCGTCCCGGTCCATGGAGACCAGTAGGGGCAGTACGGTTCGGTTCCTGAGCGGCGGACACTGCTCCTTGGCCAGGATCTTGGTCAGGCCGGTGAGGTGGCTCGAGATGATGGCAAAGTTGTCCAGGAACGTCGGCCAGTTGATGGTCTCGTATTCCAGCTCCAGTTTCTGGATCATGGACAGCACAGCTAGCTTCAGGTCGTTCAGGCGCTGCAGGACCGTCTCCAGCGTCATCTCGAACAGTTTTTCGTCGCGTTGCATTTTAGCTATTTATTTATTTAACTATTTAACAATAAATAATGTATTTAATTTAATTTCACAAAACTGGTAGAGTGACCAGGCAGACCGCGAATAGTACGTTTTCTGAACATGAAATTAGCGCCTGTAACTTATATTCGGTTTCCACTGCCTTTTATTTAGCAGGGGGATTCCCTAAACTGTTGAATTGCTGAATTGTTGAAAATTCAACAAAAAATTTCAGCAATTAAGGGAACGACCCAAAATGGTTCCTGTTGATTTTTCAAACAGCTGTTATTTGTTGAAAAGTTTCACGGAACTTAAAGCATGTAAAATTTGATTTATTATTGCTAGTAACTGTCTAAAAGTGTTACCAAGGTAAAAAGAACCACAAATATGCTTTCTAAGTTGATTTTAAAATAAATAATGCGTACTGGTGATACTAAAATGTTACAGAGTTGCCACGACTTTTAAAAAAAGGTGACAACTCTGGCTTTTCTGCCTCGAGGCTGATGAATTGCTGAAATTTCTGAAAGTTGACTTTGTATGGAACAGCTGATTAACAGCTGACCAAAATTCAACAATTCAGCAATTCAACAGTTTAGGGAATCCCCCTAGCATTTTAAATATTTAGGGCACTCTACTTTATTTCTTTAAAAAGTCAAGCAACATTTTATTTATTTTCAGAATCAAGAAGACTAAGCTTTTGGAAACCATGACCGCCAATTTACTATGTTCCAAAAGATTATTTTAAATAAAAACCTCCTCAAACTCCATGCAAATAATATTTGACCCAAAAGCACCCGATATAAAAACAATAATACAATGCCTTAAAATCATAATTAATGAAATTTATGTTCATACACAATGTTGCTAAACATGACCAGCACCAACAAACCAAGCAGTCTCTAAATTGGTAACAGTTCCAGGCGCCCAGTTGCACATACGGCGGGTAATAATTACTGATCAGCATATTCTGCATAATCAAAGCATGGAATTTTTAAGCTTAAGACCCCGTATATATAGCTACATTTAAAATCGCTTGTAAATTTGACATTATAGTCAAACATTTAATAATAATAATAATTACATTTTAAATAAAAGCTTTTGAATATAAAAATTAGATATAAATCGACGAACATTTTATTACATTTGTTGAGTATCTAAGCTGTTTCCATCGGATAGACTTTGTGGGAGAGGGCATTCAGGAATACCCCAATTAAAAGTAATTTTCCGCGTACTATTGAAGCTAAAACCACGATACTATCGCGAGTTGCCCAACCAGTGAGAGCTGACAATTGGTCAGTGCTAAGAAAAAATATCGGTATATAACTTGATATTTTTCACATCTCTCAGAGAATCTATCCTCTCTCAGTCTCTCTCTCTCTCTCTCTCTTCTCAATTTAACAGAAATGTTAAGATACAACGATTTCTTACATTGGCAGAGCAGCGGCAGAGGACTAACAGCTGTATCTTAACATTTCTGTTAGAAAACCGCGGAATCTAACATTTGAGAGCGCCGTTGCGGCCGAAAAGGGAACCAGTGAGCCGCTGACAACTGCTCAGTGCTAAGGAAAAATATCGGTACATGATAATTCGACACTTTCCCACCCCTACCAACATGGCCGCCGAGAAAAACTGAACGCAACGCCGTGTTTTCCGTTGCGAATAAAGCGTTAAAACCCACAAAAACTCGAAAAGCGTGCACGCAAACGTCGCCAAATGTAAGCAAATTAGTATAGTGCCTGTTTTACACCGTTTACATAATCGCAGTAGCCTGAAATCGGGATTTAGTTGCTGTCGGTCGGAGTCTCGCCTTTTGTCTCACTCCCTCTGTCTCGCTCTCGCTCTCGTGCTGACAAGGCAGATATATTGGTGCTGGTGTGAGTGAGTGTGTATGTGAGTGAACCGAAAAGAAGAAAATGGAAGTGGAAAATACCCATGTGAAAAGATATACGCGCAAGCCGGTTGTCGATCGGTGCTCTCGCCCGATTTGGGTACGGACTAGACCAGGTCCCCGACGCCCCAAACCCCCGCGTCGCGATATGGGTTAATTGACGGACGGAACGGAACGCGTCCGCGTTTTCTCTCTTTGCGTTTTCAGCTGTCTCCCCAACTCTCTCTTACTCTTTCTCTCTCCGCTCTTGATATTGTTGATGTTGTTGCTTTCAGTTGGCCATTTCTAATGCTCTCTTTACATGTTTCTGTATTCAATTGTAATATATTTGCAGCTTGTTGTGTATGTTTTTGAAATGGTAAAGTGTGTTGTCGCGTTCGCCGAACCGAAACCGAAACCCTAACCGATTGGGGATTATAAAGAACTATACATATATCTACCGCGCGATATATATACATTTGCCAGAGCGAGAGAAATCCGATAATCCCGCGATGGCGTCGCGCAGGCGCGCCGAACTGAATCCCAAACTCCACATGGACAGGCAGCCGACAGCTGCGCGCATAACAGGTACCTGAACAGAACTTCTACATACCAACAACCAGCAGCAACTAGATGTGGGAAAACCCACTCATCGCCGGGATTAGCGGTCCTGCAATAAAGTAGCACCCATTTAAAGGGCTTCCCGGAACGAGAACTACCCACCACCCACCATCCTGCCAAACGAAGCTGACCTTTTACCTCTCAACCTTGCAGATCCCTCATTACCCGCTGGGAAGCGACGCGAGATCGACAACGTGATGAAGAAGGCGCGCGCCAACACCACCAACGATTACTGGGACAAGAAGCTGATCGAGGCCGAGGAGAAGGATCCGAACCGATGGCGCCACACGGGCTACAAGAAGATGTACATCCAGGGCGAGAGCAGCTCCGGCGAGAGCGAACGCGACGGTCGTGAGGGCGGTGGCGGCGGTGCCCCGCCCTACGGCCGGTATCCGCCCCCAGGCGGACCGCCGACCGGTCCGCCGCCTCCGTCGCAGCGATACGGCCGCTCCCGTTCGCCCCATTCGCGCAGTCGGTCGCGTCTGCGCAAGTCGCCACCGCTATCGCCGCCCCCGCGTCGCCGCTCGCCGCCCATGTCCATGCACGGCGGCCTGGACCGTCGGGGCGGACCGCGCTCGCCGCCCATGCCGCGTTCGCCCAACAACAGCCACGACGCCCTCATGCGTCGGCCGGGCAACGGCCACGGCGGAAGGCCGCGATCCCCGCCGGAACCCGCTGGCTCGTCCTCCTCGTCGCTGCGACGCAAGCCAAACGCGTCGCGTTCCCCGCTCGGCCGCCGCCGGTCGCCACCGCTGCCGCCGCCCTCGTCGTCGGGCATGGACAAGCGGGGTCCAGTCGGAGTCGCCCACATCCTGCCGCGCTCCAAGCGCCCGCCTTCGCCACCGCCAAGGGTGAGTAGTCAATCTAAAACAGTGGCGGCCAGCAGAGCCAGCTCGCACGGTCCACGGGATAGGCAGTTTCTCTGCCGCTGCGCTGCTAGCGTTTCGACGCGCACGTACGCTGTAAATCAGAAAAACACATAAACGCAATGGGTTCTTTCATTGTATGTGGGTTGCTTCTGCTGGCCAGCACAGATCTACAGGATTATGAATCTCTATAAGAAGTCTTAAATCTCAATTTTATAAAAAACTAATAGATTTTAGAACAACTGGTATAATTGTTAACCTTTATAAAATTTTTAAACATTTTTATTTTACATCCATCCATTCTCATTCTTATAGAATACCATTCCCATTAAACTTACTTACCTTTACTCGAATTAAAAAAATATCACAAGTTTATTTGTTTTAGATATCTATGAAATTGATTTTAGATATCTATAAAATTTATTTACTTCATTTATATCGCAGTTAAGCTTAAGTAATCAGAACATACTTTTAAATTTACATCTTAATAAACGTCTTATTAAACTGCGTCATTAAAACTACTCATTTAATAGCTTTAAAAACAGATTTTATCATATAATAATTACATATTTTCTACCTTCTTGCAGCACTCAATGCGTTCGCGTTCAAACAGCTCGATGAGCAGCAGCTCCGATGATTCCTGCTCTCTTTGCTCGCCCAGCCATCGTCACAGATCTCGGTAAGTCAGCCATTCAGATTTCTGTTGCTTCTGCTTTAACCATATCGACCCCTCAACCATTGCAGATCCCGCGGACCGCGTTCGCCGCCACCCAAGCCACGTGGCCATTATCGTTCGGGGGCGCCGCCGCCTCCTCCGTCGGAATCCCATGGACGTATCCATGGTCGCCCCACCACTCCGCCGCCCGTGCGCGGTAGTGGAGGCAGTTCGGTGTCTGCCATGGAGAAGTACCGCCAGGCGAAGATGCGTCACATCGGCCATGATCGCGTCTCCTCGTCGGATGCGCACATGAAAATCGCGCGAGCGTCGCGTCATTCACCGCCGCCGGAAGATCCGCGTCTCAAGCACCGTCCGCCAGAGCCACCAGAGCCGGCATCAGCACCAACTGGAGCGCCGACATCACAGGCTAAGAAAAAGAAGAAGGAAAAGGAGGTGAGCATCCTAAAGAACATGCTAAAGAACTAAAATTACACACACTTTGCTTAGTTAAAAACTAATAGTCAAAATCCTTGCAAATAAAATCTAATAATCCAATTCTAATCCACAGATGAGGCCACGCATTAAAATTGAAGGTGAGAAACGCAAAAAGCATCCGAGCGGGACGACCGGAGCTAACGCGGCGAACTCCTCCTCGGATTCGGACGATTCGAACGGCTCGGACAGTGACGAGGTCGGCACGCTGCCCACATTCTCGGCTACAACGCGGCTGACGCTCTCGGAGCGATTCGGCAAAATGGCGCAGTGGAGCATCGATCGCAGCAACATGGAGAATATGCGAATCACCAAAGACTCCGCCGGTGGGGCCCTCAAAGTGATGATTGAAGAGGGCCTGGAGTCGCCGCCGCGTCGCTATTCGTATTCGCCGGCACCGGCCGGGCACTTTCCGGAGGAGTTGGCCACCACAGCACCGTCGGGAATGCTGTCGTGGGACGACGTGCGCGTCCGTTACGAGTACTACAAGAGTCGTGGTTACCTAAGGGACTTGGACCTTAAGGTAGGTGGTGATTTCATCTGGGTACTTTTGCTCAAATACTAATAAATTAAATTTTTCCTGCAG